AAAAAAAAAAAAAAAAAAAAAAAACTGATATCACCACCATCAATACCAATTGAAAACAGTATCAGCTCCATGACCATGAAGAACCTCCGTGGGGCCGGCTCGCCTCCCCAAATCTCGACGGAAATAAATCTGGGCCGCTCGTTTGACGGCGGGGGTGTGGTTGGGTGGTGCGAGGGCCCCACCGGCAGTAATAGCGGCGGAGCTAACGAGGCGGTGGCTGTGGACCCCACTCTCCCCGACCAATACCGCCTCTTATTATCGTCGCCACCATCATCGACCTTTGGAGCTCATCAAAATCCTCTTGCAAATAACATTTTCGATCCTCACTCGACCGACCACTACAAATCCTCAGGTAATCCTTTTTCTTTTTTTTTTTTAATTTCAAATTTTAATAACCTAAATGAGTTAAATGAACTTTTTTTTATATATATATATTCCGATTATTGATTTGTTTGTGAGTGTAGTGGGAAAAGGAAACATTGAGGATTTGTAGAACTTCTTAATATTCTTTTTTTTTTTTTATAGTGATTTTCTTAAAAATTTTCCTGAAATTTCGAGTTTGTGGCCAATTTTGAAGGTGAAATGATACCTTACTTCACAAGCGCTCAATGGAAAGAACTCGAGCGACAAGCAATGATCTACAAATACATGATTTCCTCTGTGCCTGTGCCTCCTCATCTCCTTTACCCATGTATGTAATAATCCTTACATTTCTCTCTCTTTCATTTCCGTTTTCCCCCCAATTTTTTTGTATCCTTAATTTTGATTTTGAGTTGTTCGCGCGTTTTTATTTTAGCTATGTATGCAAAAAATGGAGCTGCCCTTGAGCTTGGTCGGTGCAAGAGAACAGACGGCAAAAAATGGCGGTGCTCGAGAGACGTGGCGCCCCACCAGAAGTACTGTGAGCGTCACCTACACAGGGGACGCCCCCGTTCAAGAAAGCCTGTGGAAATTGACGCCGTCAATGGCGAAGAGGGCTTCAAGAAGCCGCGCATCGAGACAAACCCGCGAGCCCTTTTACCCTTTGATGATAGAATCGACCCGATTGGTATCTCAAACACGCCTTACGAAAGGAGGTGTTATTTTTTGGTTAATTTTGTTTTGTGATTGTAGTTTACAAGTCAGTGTTGCTACTCAGAGCTCCTTTTTTCTTTTTTTTTTCTGGGAAAATGTTTGGTTGTTTATGATTTCTTTTGGTGGATTGAAGGGATCTCGGCTTGATGATCATGGAAAACGATGCGTTTACGAACAAGGGTTTGTCTGTTTATATCCCTGAAGCCCTTTACAATCAAGATTACTGTCACACAGTGCAGCAAGAAGAAGAAGTAAATCGAGTGGATCATCATATTTTGCCGTTTTCGGATTTTTCCATTGAAAACTTAGCCGGTTCTTGGCAGATGGATAATCTCAATGTCAACACAAACAATTTGAACAGATATTCATCCCTACCGGCTGACCATGAAGATATTTCGCCTTGGCTCGATTTGTCTATGGGAATGGCTGCTGGTGGACCCACCTGCGAGGATGCAAGATGGTCAGGCCCAGTTTGTTATTCCGAGCAGTTTGGGCCGGGCGGCC